ACTTCATGTTATATTAATATCTCAATCATTAAAAAAAAATTCCTTCCCCCCCATACAGGCATTCAGTGAAAACCAAGCACTACAAAACAAATATTTCTTTTTAAAATTCAAGTTCCACAATATAATGTGCTACATTTTGGAGACAGATCTTCCTCTGAGGACTGCTGGTTTTATTCTATACTTATTTTTTTAATGGCAGAGTTTTGAGAAATGTTTAGGGTGAAACAGTGGAAAGAGCATTACACATTACTTTAGAAGCCAGGGCTGCTCTTAAATCCAAGTGCTATAGTCTGAATATTTGCGCCCCACCTCTACCCCCCAAATTCTTAAGTTGAAATCCTAACACCTGAAGTGATAGTATTAGGTAGGGCCTTTGGAGGGTCCTACGTCATGAGAGTGGAGCCCTCATGAATGGGATTACTGTCTTTACAAAGAGCTCTCTTGCCCCTGCTGCCATAAGAGGACACAAGAAGTCAACAGTCTAGAAGAGGGCCCTTGCCCAACCAGGCTGGCACCCTGATCATTGACTTGCAGCCTCCAGGACTGTGAGCAATAAATGTCTGGTTTTTATCAGCTGTAATATTTTGTTATAGCAGCCCAAATGGACTAAGACACCAAGTAACTAACCCTGATTAGCACTGCTAAACCTACTTTTCATTTACTGAAGAAAAAAATAAAAAACTGAACTAGGTGCAAACTGGAACTTAAAGTACATTCTACTTAGAAAATGTTTGTTCTGGTATATATAACCCTTGTCTTCATATTTTCATTCATTTTAGCACCTCTACTTTGAAGAGCAATTACTTAGCCAATTTACTTGGCTCTGTACAGAGTATTGAACTAAAATGAATTACACCTAAATGGGTTCTACTTAGTCATGTCTTTGGAACCCTATATTAAATTTTCAAAGAGATCCTAGGTCAACACTGAAACCTAAGCTGGGATGGCCGGAAACAGGTATAACCAGCAGCCTTCTAGGGAAGGTGGATGACACTGTACAAAAGCACCTTCCTCTACTGATTGCTCAAGGTGCCCCTATAAAATTTAAAAAAAAAGAAATTAGCCTGTTTTCAGGATAAATGACATATTCATCCTAGACAAAAACTTTAAAAGTCATTCATCCTAGTGCTCTATCTCTAGATTCCTTCAAGTGCTCTCTGGTATCTAGTTTAAATACACACACACACACACACACACACACACACACACAGCAAATTTCAGCTATGGCTTAACAACAAAAGAAACATGTTAGCCCTACTGTCTTATTTCCTCACTATAAAAAAAATTGCAAACTTTATGATTCCTCCTTTGTAAACTCAATCTAAGTGCTGTTTCCATTTTCCCCCCTATTGTTTCCAAGCATAGTTTTCTGCTCTGATGGTATTTTATGGACTTAAATGGGCTTGGAACATGCAATCCAACAGTCCCACAGAACTCAGGACCTCAATTTAGAAAATCCATTCTTTTTCAAATAGATATCCTACAAAGGATAATTTTTTAAAACATAACTCACATTTTGTAGAAGCAGCTGGTAAAGTCTGTAACATCAAAATAAGTCTCTGATAAAAAAGAAAAAGTTGACCATAATGTAGGGACTTTCCTTACAACCACTTACCTACACATTTGTACATCTCTAACTCCCAGTAGGTCACAGAGAAAAGAATTAAGAGTAAAACTGCAAATTAGCAACTATCAGGAAGAGGAAAGTTCTCCTGGGTAAGAGTTAATGCCTAACCCAGAACTCATTGTTCAGTATGAGTTTTGATACATATAAGAAGGGACATGAGCCCTAGCCGCCTTGGCTCAGTGAATAGAGCATTAGTCTGCAGACTGAAGAATCCCAGGTTCGATTCCGGTCAAGGGCACATGCCTGGGTTGCAGGCTCAATCCCCAGTCATGGGGCGTGCAGGAGGCAGCCGATCAGTGATTCTCTCTCATCATTAATGTTTCTATCTCTCTCTCATTCTCCCTTCCGCTCTGAAATCAATAAAAAAATATATTTTTTTAAAAAAAAGAAGGAACATGATACCTAAAATGCTGGTTCCAGGACTGTAGGATTAATCATTTAAAAAGCATAGAATATAAGGAAAATATCAACCATACTGCTTTAGTATTTTAATTTTGATGTTGATAACACTATAACAAAGATGACTTCTTTTTCTTATTAGGGTTTTATCTTGGGAACACAATATCTGGATTTATGTCTTATTCTTTAGGTATTTTGTATATCCCGAAGATCTGTACTATTCTAGGGAGTGATAGCTTAGGAGTGAAGATGATTTGAACTTATTCGTGTTTAGAGGGTATCTGAAATTAAACCAAGCAGATCCATCTACTCAGACCCTAACCATTGCCCTAAAGTAAATTGCTTGAAGAAATCAGTTCCTAACGATTATAGGTGGAGAGTTTTTGATGTCCATATTCAAGTGTAGATCAAAGAAGCTCAAATACAAGGATTGTGGACTGACTGAAATGACAACTGGATTGAGCAAAAAAGGGATGAAGACGATTAAGACTCAAACTCAGGATAAACTAAGGCAATGGAAGGACTCAGACAGAACATGTGAAATTCCTTAAATAAAAATTTATTAGCTTAAAAAAAAAGTTAATGCCTAGTCATTCAACAACTGACCACTATTCCAGACCACTGCTCTAAGGATAGCTGTCCCTGATGACTGATGGCTGTCCCTGAATGGCTAATAGGTATAGCTAGGCTGGAAATAGGTCTAGCTATAGTGGTGCTGATGGCTCCAGAGTAAGGAGGGAGGACCAAAAAGAAAATGTCTGGATAAAAGGGATCTGTATGATAAAGCCCTGGAAATAAGCACTTTTAGGAGCTGTTAAGTAGATTAGTTTAAGTAGCCAAAATGGCTTGATATAGGCAAATAAATAAAAGCTAAGTAAGCTTCATTGTTAAAAGGGAAAACATCAAACAACCACACAAGCAAAAGAAATACATCAATAAAACAACCAAATCCAAACTGTGTGCTCACATATGTACATACTTGCAAAAGTATTTCTCCAAAGTCTCTTTTTGCCTCTAGAGAGAAAAATTGTAGCAAAAGTTTCTGAAGAAACTAAACTTATATGGTGTCCACTTATCTAAGAAGTACTATAATATAGAACTTTAAAGAGAAATCAACAATCTGCTCTCACAAATTGCTGGGAATAACTACGATCCAGTTCCAGACCCTCACTAGACTGCAAGGACATTCAGCCCTTCCCTTTTTCTCTTTAAGCTAATACTGACAGTTCCTAAAATAAGCAACTTTTATTTATGTATGTATTTATTTATTTATTTAATCCTCACCTGAGGACATTTTTTCCTTTGCTTTTCAGAGAGTGGAAGGGAGGGAGGGATGGTGCGAGAGAAACCTTGGCCGGGAACCAAACCCACGATCCTGGGCGGACAGATGTTCTAACCAGATAGCAACACCGGCCAGGACAATAAGCAAGTTTTACATAAGGAGAATACTTAAGTGCACTCATTTGATATTTCTACAAAATCAGTACCTGAAAGCATGCTATTACTGAAGCAGCCCCTAAATACAGGCAGATTTTTAAAGACCGAACTTAACTTGAAACCACTGAAAGTTTGTCTACTACCTAAGGTCAGAACCGCACATGGCTACTATTAAGTTATAACAAATGCTCGTCTCTGAATAGACTAGTTAACTGACACATAACGTAAAAAAAGTGACGTATACCCAACAACCTGAGTAAGGTAAACGATTTTGACACATTGAAAATTCTAAGCCTGTCACTGACGGAGGAAAGTCCAAGTCCCACTTCAGAAAGGGAGCACACAAATTAATGTGATTTCCTACCCATGTCAAATGAGGTGCTCTACCTTTGTGACATTTTGTGAACTCTACAAGCTTACAAAATGCGAAGGGTGAAAAAGATCTTTGTATTGATAGCCAACAGTTTCTGTCGGATCATAAGACTGCAATGCATCTTGGGATTCCTTTAGACCGGTCGGTGCCACAGATATTTAACACGTAATTACAGTTTCAATAATAGAAGTTGCAGCAAGAGACGCTCTCTCCTAGGCCTCAGGATGAAGAGAAAACTCGATTCGTCCTCCCCAACTCCTCGGACCTTTCAACGCCCACCTACAGACTCGGGATTCCATCTGTCCTCACTTCTAGGCCTCGTGTTACTGCCCTGCCGCCGCCCCCTCTCCGTTCCATACGGTTCCCGGCTTAAGTGGGGAACTGGGGCCCGGAGCCCGGCCCCAAGCCCAGACCGTGTCCCCGGCGCGCTTCTCCCGCCCCGCCCGGCCCTCCGCCGCGGCCCC